TTGTTCTTTGGTTATGTTATCAGGAGGGATCAGCCCCAGAGGAAGGATATCATGCTTAATAAAGTAGAGGATCAGTGAAAAAGGGAAAGACCCTCAATGAGATGGATTCAAACAGTGGCTCCAATAGTGGGCTCAAGCGTAGCAGCAATTATGCAGATGGCGCAAAACTGGGCAGTGTTTTCTTTAGTTGTGCATGTGGGGTCACTGTGAGTCACTGACTTGATGGCACCTAACAACAACATATATTTCAATGCACTCCTCCCTTTTTCTGGACTGCCATTTCCCTTTCCACCTAGACAACTCCTTCCTTTTGAGAATCAGTTCTTCTGTCATCTACTTTAGTAATGCAAGCAGTCCCTCTTCCTGTGCTCTCTAAGAATTTTCTGCACACTATAGGGCTTATCTAATTGTGCTGAGATGTTTATTTACATGTTTCTTTCCCTTTCTAGCCTATGAGTGCCTCTCAGAGGAAACCCTATGTCCTAGGTTTCCTCAGTGCCTAGATATCTGTTGAGTTAATTAACAGCCCTTCTACTTTCTTGGTTTTGCTTTCTGGAATTGAACTTTCAAATCAAGTGTGGTTATCTCAGTAATTAATTTTAATAAAACACTGGGAAATCAATGTGGATGCTCTTTAAGCATTATGTGGTTTGCTTTTTTATGGCTGTTGAGTAAGATGGAACACTTGCTCTGGTGTGATACAGGTACATTAGTGTTAAAGTGTTCAAGTCTGGTGTTTATTAGTAGGCCTAAAGTGAATCTTTGCTGACATTTGAAGTTTGTGACATTTCCTGTACTTTCTTTCTTGACTGGAAGGCATAAATGACTGACAGTAAAGAGCAATTAATTATTTTCCAGGTAAAACATTTTCAGGAGCTTCTGCCTTTATTGCTTCCCAACAGAGAGTACAGCCATTCCTTATTGTTTCGAGCATGATTTTCTTACCAGCTTTTAGTCACTTTACCAAAAAAAGTTACACTTTTCTGAATTCAGCGAGATTGGCAGAAGGGGAATATTTTAAAGTCTGCTTTGTTAGTTGTTCGGTGCTGTATTTGCTCTTTGTTTGACAGCTATCAGGTTATCTATTTATTTATTTTTAAATGAAGCATACTATATTTTTAGAGCCAAGTTACATTGTTTACTGAGCAAATGCTACCTCTGCCATCCAGCAGAGTGAAATGTTAGGGAGAATAATTAGCTGTCTTTAACACTAACCTGTATGATTTTATTTCCTTTTGCAAAACAGGCGAGTGTTGTGTATAAAGGAAGTTGAAATCCTGGGGCATATGTCTATAGACTGGCAGTGTCCATTTGAAGATTTCGTATTTCCTCCCAGTGCCACTGAAAATCTGCTAACACTTTCAGTTAAGGTAAGAAAATATGAAACACAACTTTAAGACCAAGAATTTGTTACATGAGTACAATCTAGTGCTTGTGGATTCCGTTAAAAGTTAACTACATACATTTTTGAAAGATGCTAATTCTTACTACTGTTATATGCTGATATGTAAGGAGAGATGTAGTGGATTTATTTGTGTAACTATTCTTTGTTTTCTGACAGTCCATGATTGTGTAGAGTGAAATATCTAGAAGGGTTCATATCTACTCAAAGAATTAGAATGCTGATACTTCCTTTTTGGTAGAATTTGTTGTTGTTATGTGCCGTCGAGTCGGATCCAACTCATAGTGACCCCTCCTTGGGTTTCCGAGGCAGTATCACTACAGAAGTAAATTGCCCAACCTTCCTTCCGAGGAGTGGCTGGTGGGTTTGAACCGCCAGCCTTCTGGTGAGCAGTCAAGTGCCTTAGGCACTATGCTACCAGAGCTCCTTTGATAGAATTAAGCACTAGTAAATAGTTTTGTTTGTTTGTTTGTTTTTATGAGCATTCATTTTTGTTATAATAATAGATATTTCTATAAAGATTCCCTTTTTTGGTAGGCTTTTAGTAGATTATTAATAAGTGCTTTGGTACAAATGGGAGCTCTGGTGGCATAGTGCCTAAGGCATTTGACTGCTAACCAGAAGGCTGGCGGTTCAAACCCACCACCCACTTCTAAGAAGGAAGATTGGGCTATCTACTTCCATAGTGATACCACCTCAGAAACTCAAGGAGGGGTCTCTGTGAGTCAGATCTGACTTGACGGCAGTGAGTTGGTACAAATAAATATTATTTCTAAAATGCCTGTGGCTTGTAATATTTGGCATTTATAGAATGCCACCTCAACATAAAGAAAATAAAAATCTTTACAACTGGATCAGTCAGCAACATCATGATAAATGGAGAAAAGATTGGAAGTGTCAGGGATTTCATCTTACCTGGATTCACAGTCAACACCCATGGAAGCAGCAGTCAAGAAATAAGATGTTGGATTGCTGCAGAAGACCTCTTTAAAGTGCTGAAGAGCAAAAATGTCACTTTGAAGACTAAGGTGCACCTAACCCAAACCATGGTGTTTTCAGTCACCTCATATGCATGTAAAAGCTGGACAATGAGAGAGGAAGACTGTGAAGGAGTTGATGCCTTTGAATTGTGATGTTGGTGAAGAGTACTGAAAATACTGTGGACTGCCAGAAGAACGAAGAAATCTGTTCTGGAAGAAGTGCAGCTGGAATGCTCCTTGGAAGCAAGAATCTCTCACCTACTTTGGTTATGTTTTCAGAAGGGAACAGTCCCTGCAGGAGCATATCATTGTAGGTAAAGTAGAGGGTCAGTGAAAAAGGGGAAGACCCACAGCAAGTTGGAATGGCACAGTGGCTGTAGTGATGAACTCAAGCAGAGCAGAGATTGAGAGGATGAGGCAGGACCTGCAGTGTTTCGTTCCGTTGTACAGAGGGTCACTGTGAGTTGGAGCCGACATGACAGCACAAGAATAGAATGCTAATAACCATTTAAATATGCAATAATACTTAGATCTCTTTCCTTCCACTATTTTCTATGGAAGAGCTTTCATTTTCATTGTATAGAATGTAATTAGCAAAAGTCATATCCCATCTTTTGCTTACTTCTCAGACTCCTTTTTACTTTGAAACAGATTTTTATTATATATATGATATATTATACATTTATTTGCATCCCTTTGAGATCAGATTACAAATTATCATTCTAAAGATAGTAATTTCTATACTGTATGTGTGTGTGTTTGTGTGTGTATTTGAAGACTAAGGTGCACCTAATGCAAGCCATGTTGTTGTTGTTGTTAAGTGCCGTCCAGTCGTTTCCGACTCATAGCGACCCCATGCACAGCAGAACGAAACACTGCCCGATCCCGCACCAGCCCCACAATCCCTGCTATACTCGAGCCCATCATCGCAGCCACCATATCAATCCATCTCGTTGAAGGCCTCCCCCTCTTTCGTCGACCCTCCACCCTACCAAGCATGACATCCTTCTCCAGGGAATGGTCCCTCCTTACAACATGACCAAAACAGGTGAGACGAAGTCTGGCCATTCTTGCTTCCAAGGAGCATTCTGGCTGCACTTCCTCCAGGACAGATCTGTTAGTTCTTTTTGCAGTAGTATTTTTAATTGCCTCATATATGTGTGAAAGCTGGTCAATGAATAAGGAAGATCAAAGAGTTGATGCTTTTAAAGTGTAATGTTGGTGAAGAATACTGAAAATACCATGGACTGCCAGAAAAATGAACAAATCTGACCTGGAAGAAGTGCAGCAGAATGCTCCTTGGAAGCAAGAATGGCCAGACTTCGTCTCACCCACTTTAGTCATGTTGTCAGAAGGGACCATTCCCTGGAGAAGGCTATCATGCTTGGTAAAGTGGAGGATTAGTGAAAAAGGGGAAGACCCTCAATGAGATTGACCCTCAGTGATTGACGCAGTGGCTGCAATAGTGGGCTCAGGTATAGCAGGATTGTGAGGCTGGCACAGGACCGGGCAGTGTTTTGTTCTGTTACATAGGGTCACTGAGTTGGAGCTGACTGAACTGGAACCTAACAAAAACAACATATTTTTTTCCTAAGTCATAATAATGTTACCCAGAAAACATTTACCACAAAATAGAATTGAGTTGCAAGTGTTCTCTTATCCTTCAATTTGTGTTTGTGTTTCTTTTCATGAAAGTTTACAAATAAAAGAAACAACTGTGTCACCATTACCTCGTTGTGGGGTGTCAAATTTTAAAGAGTGCCTTGGTGTATGAAACATAGTATTCAAACTAGAAAACACTATGTATAGATTTTACAGTTTCCTCTCTTTCTCTGTTCTCTCACATCAGTGGTGAGAATTGACTCAATTTATTTTATGTTATGTAAAAAATTTTATCTATCAGCCAAAGAAATGAAGGAAGGCTTCTTTGGTTTGTCAAATGTGATGAGCTATCTATCAAGTGGTGTTTCTGGTAGGCTATTTATCATAGCCTGCAGAAAGACATTATTTTATACAGATAGTTGTATGTGCATCCAATAAATCCTAACAACTCACATATGGAACCATTATCCTTGTATCGAAATGATTTCTTTCTTATCATACCCGAATATATGTATTTGGTTAGTCTACTGGTTGCATAGTGGCTAAGACACTTGCCTGCTAACCAGACGGCTGGCGGTTCAAACCCACCAGCCACTCCTCGGAAGGAAGGTTGGGCAATCCTACTTCCGTAGTGATACTGCCTCGGAAACCCAAGGAGGGGTCGCTATGAGTCGGGGCCGACTCGACGGCACATAACAACAACAACTGGTTAGAAAATGGAATTGACATTTAAGCATCCAATTAAAGATTATGATTCTTTTTTCTTTCCTAGAATCATTTTTTTTCTGTTGTTACTTCTTTTTAAACAGGATCAGAGTCTATTCCACAAAAAAGACAGTGCCAAGCAAGGCTATCTCCGGAAAATCTATCTGCAAGATGCCGCCACAGCAAAGGTAAACAGATTGTCTCAAATATTTCCCCCTTTTTCTCTAACGTGAAAGAGAAAAAAAAAAAGTCTGTTACAAGTAACAGTACCAATTATTTCTTTCAAGAATTTTTCCAATGATGACTTTGGATATATAAGCTTAAGATCATATCCTGTGGACTCCATAGGGAAGAAAGGTCTTATTTTCTTATTTCATGTACAGACTGTGTATTCCTGTCCTTAGCTGCTGAAATTGCCTGGAAAGTTCCAACAAGACTACTCTGCAGTTTCTTGCTTTCATACCTTTCTCTTCCACAAAATGAGCTTATATTTGTATTTAAAATTCATAATACATGTTTTATTTTACAGAGAGCATATAATGCCATTGAGGATGCACAGTCAATGAGACATCAGCAGAAATTGGTGAAGCAGTCATCACTGAAACTTCTGAGGCTCCAACTACCATCTTAATCACTGATCCCAGTGAGCTGATGGGCTACTATTGGGGAAAAACCAATCCCCAGCCTTGTCTATAAATCACTCTTCTTTATTGTGCTAATGAGAATTTTTCAAGCAATTCTTACATTTTGGAATTTTTTCTAGAATAGCTAGTATTAGATTTTCCATTTATTCCCTTGTATTGTACAGTTTACCCACCCACTTCTGTACTGCCACCTGCATGGGCCATACCCTCAGATAAATATCACTTTAGATTTGGAGTGAAATTTTCAGTAATGTTAAAGTTGTGAAGCAAGGGGCAATAGACTTCTTTGTAATTAAAGTCCTTATGAATAAGAAACGAGCTTAGGCAGACTAGTGTTCTTTGAGAGGTTTTAGCCATGGACAAATGTTGGACACTTTGACATTTTGTTTAAGGATAAGTTGTTCAATAATTAGACCAAGATAACATTTTGGTAAATGAGATAGTTGACTAAAGAAAAGCCACTAAATGAAGAAATGCCATGTTTCCTATTTTCTTTACATGAAAACATTTTTCTTCTAATTAAAACATGTTTTCCTTTGGTGCTTATTTTTCTTCTCTGCATTATAATATGAAGACTTGAGGACAAACCTTAAAATATTCCATAATCTGTTCTCCCTAATATAGGATTCACAAAATTTTGAAAATTATTTACATGCTCTTTTAAAATGAACTTATATGGCACAATTATAATTTGCTGATACATTAAAATATTAGACTTTTTTAAGAATCAGAAATATGAAAAATTCAGTACTTTCATATTCCTAAACAAATTTTTTTGAAGTTAAAACACTTTTAAGGCCATTATAAATTACCATTTAATTGTAATGCATATCTAAAGATGTATCTTAAATACTTAATAGAAGACTGATAATCTCCAGTTACTTTATATGTAAGTAAAGTAAAGCCTGTATAGTAACATTGTAGAAAATAAACAGTAGATATGTCCTTTGAAGGAGGTAACCTATGACCATCAGTTGAATAGAGTACTTTTTTTTGTCCTTTCTTTATTTCACTTTTGCTGATCAGAGATATAAAAATGAAATCCAAACCCATTGGCATCCAGTGGATTCAAACCTGTCACAAACCTGTCGAGCAGAGTAGGGTTTCCAAGCCTATTGTTATTACCTTTATAGAAGCAGAGCACCAAGGCTTTGCTCTGTGGAACAACTTGACCATAAAACTTTTCAGTTTTTTCTAGTGCTGTTTAATGTGGAATCTAAAAAGAATGTAATAACGAACGTCCTAAATGTTGATTTCTGGTATACTGTGGTATCCTTGCCTTTTCAACATCATTCTTTTTATTTTTTTCCTGTGAAGAGAAGTTTCATATATAAAACTTCCAGCTTTATACAGAATTTTTATGCCAGTGGTTAATTGCAGTTTACTTAAAAGGAGCATTATAAACAGAATTCCATAGCAAGTATGCTAGTGTGTAATCAGGAATTTGGGTTATCTGTTTATATTTTCATATGAATCACAGCTATTGACAGTGACCTAAATATTTTAGGAAATTATATTGCTTTGATGGTTTATTCTAAAAATGTATGTACAGAAGATCAAACTAAGAAAAATTGTTCTATAGAAAAGCCTAAACTTGTCATCTGAGTTAGCTTAGAAATAAACTTTCAGATATTTGTAACATTTTTATATGATTGAATCCCCTGAGACAGAAGTAATTCTTTCATCAGTAAAGTGTAATAATGCTCTGTTGTATTTTAAAAAATGCTTTGCGAATCAATTACTTGCATATGAACTCCTGAGAAAATAAAATATTTGGAGCATTGTTTACAGGTGTAAAAGCTTTCTGGGTTTGTGTTAAATATTCTAGTAATACTGGCTTTCACTGTGTCTTCTTTTCTTTTACTAATCTTATAATAATTGAGAAGTTAGATGAATAATCATGGAGGACTATAAGAGGTGTTAGGCAGGTTGCAGCTTTTTTCTGCTGGTACTGAGGCCGTTTACCACCGTGGAGATCTGTGGGTCAGACCTCCAACACTGTGAGAATACAGAGAAGGGAACTGACCAAGAGCCCAGCTGCTACATTTCAAAATCTGTCCCTGCTTTTGTACTGAGACCAGGCCAGTGACTGAGTTTGGCAGGGTTACTAAAGCTGGCCCATTCTTGGGAGACACAGAACTCCTCTGAAGGACTCTGTAAGGGCCTTGTAGAAATATCCTGAGACTGACTGGCAATCTGAGATGCCTGCATGCAACCTTCTTCTTTTCCCTCCTTTTCCTCTCTCCCCCTCTTTCTCTCTCTTCTCTCTCTTTCCCCTCTTTTCTCTCCCTTCTCTCTTTCTGTCTCTCCCACTTTCTCTCTTCTTCTCTCACTGTGTCTCCCTCCCCACCACTTCCCTGGGGACTTGCATTACAGCTTGCCCATCTCCTTCCCTATTTTCCCTCACACAGGCATTTTCTCCATAGAATTCTGGCATAGTTTATTTTATCTTCTGCTTTTTGGAGAACCTGGACTAACACAAGACCCAAGCCACATGTTCACCAGGGGAGAAATGGAATTATTTATCAGAATCGCCTGCTGGATTCAGTGTTGGGGGTAAACACAATACTGGATTACCCACAAGGCAGAATGGGCTTCTGTTGAGGACAATAGCAAAGCAGGGCATCAAAAAGGCAAACATTGGAAGGAGAGTACACCAGGGATTCGTGCAAAAAATCAGATCTTCCGTGTATTTCATGATTTATTGTTTTTATTTTGAATTACGTATGAGAGGAGGACATTATATTTCTGGTGCTTTGGATCTTGAAATGTATTCACTTGTGGCATAGTGCCTAAGGCCTTTGACTGCTAACCAGAAGGCTGGCGGTTCAAACCCACCAGCCACTTCTCGGAAGGAAGGTTGGGCAATCTACTTCTGTAGTGATACCACCTCGGAAACCCAAAGAGGGGTCACTATGAGTCGGATCCGACTCTACCACAGTCGATATACATCCATAGGGGCCCTGGTGGTGCAGTGGTTAAAAAGCTTGGCTGCTAACCGAAAGATCAGCAGTTCAAACCCACTGGCCACTCCACAGGAGAAAGATGTGGCAGTCTGCTTTGGTTGTTGTTGTTGTTGTTATGTGCCGTTGAGTCGGCCCCGACTCATAGGGACCCCTCCTTGGGTTTCTGAGGCAGTGTCACTACGGAAGTAGATTGCCCTGTCTTCCTTCCGAGGAGTGGCTGGTGGGTTTGAACCGCCAGCCTTCTGGTTAGCAGTCAAGTGTCTTAGCCACTATGCTACCAGAGCTCCTGCTTTGGTTAAACATCTGTATTTTTACAAAGCTCTACGTGTCTTTCCAGTATACAGCCAGTGGGTTCCATGCCATGTGTTGGGTCTGACAAGTACTCAAGGCTCTAGCACATTTCTTTTGACAGTTGTGCCTGGAATGGAAGAATTAGGCTTATTGTTCTTAAATTAAGTCTTAAAAGTATCTTTAGTTACAAGGCTATTATCATTCAAATTCTCTACCTTGTGGGTCTCCTTGAACTGAAAAAAAGTCTTCACAAAGACTTGGGTTTTTGTTTTGTTTTTTTTTTTTGAACACACAATCCCTTATTCACAATTCAAAAAGCTCTGAAAACTAAAAGGTTTTTTTTTTTTTTAATTGGTTTTAAGTAAAGACATTTGGCAGCAAACTCTAAACTGACTGACATGAGGCTATTTGTAATATTTTTATTAAAATTCTCTTTAATGTGAATGAGTTTGGCTGCTGCAAAGTTAGCATATTTGATTATGGGATGCTACTCCAGACTTCCCTGGTCATATACAAACTATGTGGTATATAAACCATAATACCTTTCTAAAATTTGAAAAGTTCTATATTCTGAAACGCATCTGGTCCCAAAGATTGCAGATAAGAGATTAAGAATCTGTATACCCTCAAAATTCTCAGCTTAATACATTTGCTTCCAGAATTTTAGAAGAAATAATAAGCTATAAGGAATATAGTTTAGCAAGCACTTCTTAATGGTTTAAATCTATAAAGAGGATTGTCTTTCCTCCTCAGACCATGCCAATATTTTATTTATTCATTTTTATGTTGGAAAATTGTTGTTTTGAGAAACTGAAGCAATTGATGTTGACATATAGGAGACTGAAATGTTGCTACATGATTATGTATTATAAAGATTTTTGACAACTCAGAAAAAATATAAAGCAAAAGGACATAATAATAATTTCCATCCCCTTTGTATATTAATTAAATAAATGTCATCTGCTGGCTAGAAAGAATTTAAAATTGACTTCTAGTGGGAAAATAATTAGAATAGTAATGAAGTAAGCCAACATAGTTCCCTAGGTTGATAGTATCCCAGTAAGATGATTAAAAACTTTACAAAGAAGATCCAGTATTTCAGTATTGTTTCTTTCAAACTCAAAAAAGACCAGTGACTTACCTAAAGATTGACTATGCAGTAATGTTTTAAAAATTTCCCAACTGTAGTTTAAATTCCATGATTAATAATTTTCATCAAAAGTAGATTTCAGATTTCAGTCTTTGGGTTTTGTTTTTGTGGGAAACATTCCTCTTTCTTCTAGAAACAAGGATGCTGTGTCCAGGTAGAGTATCTTGCTCTTCTGAATAATGCTGAATGAACATGGACAACTGTGGTCTCTTTGATTTCTTTTAGAAACTTATCCCAAAATCTTCTATTTATTTTCTCCCCATCTGTGTTTTTGGGCCAACAGTGATAGGTATAAACATTTTCCCTAGTAACACTCAAAATCTAAGCCACAGCCTCTTAGTTTGAATTTTTTTTTAGCAAATTCTTATGCATAGTCTGATATTACTGTGGCCATTTATTGGCAAATTGCTCTGCTGCCACTGCCATCCAATTCATAGCAACCGTATAGGACAGAGTAGGACTGCCCTATAGGATTTCCAAGGCTGTAATCTTTACAGAAGCAGACTCCCATGGAGTGGCTGGTGGGTTTGAACTGCTGACTTTTTGGTCAGCAGCCAAGCACTTTAACCACTACACCACC